TACTCTCTGATCACTTATTTACATCATTAAGTCATGCTCTCATTGCATTCAAAACTCTGCATTTACAACTCTACAACGTGCACAGTGTCCAGTGAAGAAAGCATCGAATGCATATAATGCTGACAATGCAGATGATATGTTGGCATCTGACTATGGGGGGTTCACTAAGCAGGATTATCCTTCACTCGGGTTTGCCACATTTTGCTTTTTTCGCTGTGTTATGCTTTTTACAAATATTTTTCACTTTTTATTTTATGTCTGCAAATATGCGATATTTCAAAGTGTATTTTTTTAATATTTTTATTTGTTTTAAAACAAAGTACGGAAGAAGATGGTGATGTAAAGAATAATGATGATTCACAAAGTGATTCTTCGTCTCTTGGTCTGGTCTTTATTATCAACTTATAATTTATTAAATTTTTTTATCACATAAATGGACTCTAAGTTATTTATTTTGAATTATTGTTTATCAAGTGCCATAGCTTATTTACTTTTTACTACCTTAATTTTTTTAGACTATGATTGATTATGAATGTGTGTTCTCGCATACATTTTTTTTTTGTAAATTAACTTAGTCAATTATACGCACACACATTAGAAAACTCAGTAAATACTTGTGATGACCCAACATACAAAGAACAGTTTCTTGGGACGTGTGCCTCTGATATCATCAACAACTATCCTCTACTATTCAACGCTGATGTAAGTATTACAGTGAATTTTATCTTCATTTACAGACGTAATGTCTGATTGCATCATGCCGTTTGTTGTGCTTCTGAATGGCTCACCCAATACCTCGAACCGTTATTTTTTTCCGGTTTTTGATTTTATTTCGACTAGCGAATCACACTTTGGCTCTGTTCCAATTTTCGTTCTAATTCGGTTCCCGAAAAATAATTCCCTTCTAAACGCCGGTATTTTAACCTATTTTTAGTTTACTTAATGCTTCAATTTTAATCACGCACCTAATCGAAATTAACCAGTATGTTTTTTCGGTTCCTGTCAAAATTTCGGTTTTTTCAGCGTCGGTTGGAAACCCTGGGTTCACCTATTCTACTTCATGTGCACGTGATCATCTCGTTCAATATGCGGATTAATTGAATTTATATAGAGATCATTGCACACCGTAAAACACAAAAATTAAAATAAACCTTGAAATTTCATTAACATTGAGTATAATCAGATAATACTGATGTTGTCTAATGTGCCCAAATTTCTTGTTCTGTTTTAAATCTAGCGGTAGTAACCCTAACTTTAACCCTACATCATGAACCTGTGCATAACTTTTTTGTTATTATTGTGATAAAAAATTAATTGAAATTTGAACCGCATGCATTCAGAGGAGCCGAATGGTTGAAAAAACAGATGAGAAACGTTGCTTCATCTTGCCATTACATGTAAGCCACTTCAGTCAATTGTGCTCTTGCGTATTTTATTTTCAATGAAAACTCCCCTCTGTTTACGGTAAACGGAAATTTTTTTAAATAAAGGCATTTTACATTCGTTAAAAAAAGTAATTTCAATTGAAAAATATATTTCTCTTTGAAACGTTGCACAGTTGTTGAAATTGGTAATGGGAGACAGAGGTGACAGAATGCTCCAAATAAGCAAGGAATCAAATTCACAAATTGAAGTGAGGTTGATGAACGACAAGCCACATGAATGCATTGTAGTCATCACCGGCTCCCCGAAAGAGGCATCCAATGCAAGGCATCTCATCAGCATGTGGTTAGTTTCATCTCGTACCGTGTTCGTGTTGTTCCATTGATGCTTATTAAATTTTGATACCATCCTAGTCACATTAATGTATAATTGATAGAAGATGAACTGATATTTACGAATATATCTGATATTTACGAACACATAAGTAAAAACATTTTTGTGGGATTTGGTAATCGGCAAAGTAAACAGAATATGAGGATGGAAATGCAGATGCAGTGCAAGAAAGGTGATATCATTCTGAAACCACAATCCAATCGCCCAACCATATCTTCTTATTACACGCATCAGGAGAAGCAAGAGTAGTGCTGACGTCGCATATTTATCAATTTTTATGCATAAAACTGTTAACCACGGTTGTGGATGACTCGTGAAAGCTAGCAAAAATAAAATGGCGCAAACGTGGCCAACATTCAAGGTCAACCGTGTAGTTCAGTTCAGTTCTTATGTAATTTAACGAGTTGAATTCAGAAGAGTTTCAAAGATATTTTCAAGCAACAAACCAATATGATTAATAAAGCATTTTATTGAGACTTTTTTATTGTACCTGAATAGAGCAAAATTTATCTAATTGTTAAACGTTCAACTTGGTCAGCATCCAGATGATGTGCACAAGAATCCAGTGATGGAGTGTTTATCTGGCTGTCTGCACGTGCTTGTTACCAACACAGCGTTTTTTTTATAGGATTGATCTCACGGTAATAAATAATGATGTTGAATGTAATTCTTGCTTATCACATGTGAACGATCTGTCTTTTGTACGCATGTTTGTGTTACTGTGACGCTTGAGGTTATACATTGAACCGTAGCAATAAAACCTTATTTAATCTTCAAAATTTTCATCATTTAATCTTTATTTTAATCAGCTATTTTTAAAAAAATTGGTTGAATAGAAATCTCTGTAAAATCAGTCTTTGAACACTAGGTAACAATGAGAAAAAGATAAAAGAAATATATACATTTAAAAATGACTGAGTAATAATAGTCATGAGTTTGACATTATTTAGCATGTGTGTATGTTTGTGTGTGTGACAGATGTGTGAAAGTTGATAATGCTCATGTAAAGTTGAACGGTCAGTTAGTTAGTGAATGCATTGCATACATGGCGACAACACACGGTGAGACAACGTGATTGAGTAACGTGTACTGGGAAGCGTGGAGGCATGTAGTCGGCATGGGCATCAACTTGGTCACCAGGTAGGAGCTGCCTGGGTCAACCTTCTCATCCTCCTGTTAGTGTTCAAACGATGTAAAAATAATATAAAGAGCCGTTGTGCATAACCATATTTCAATAAAATTGTTATCTAAAACCACTTATTAAAATTATTTCTAACACCTACCATAAAGACAAACCGATCCACCATAATGACAGGAAACATAAGAACAACAAACCTCATGTTTTTACGCACCACACGCAACAGCATGTTTATGTAACATGCATGACAACAATGACGCACCGTGTATTGGTGACAAGCAGCATAACAAATATGTGACATACAACGTAACAGACCTTGTATTTCTATCCTGGTCTCTGATCTTCTTCTCCATCTCAGCATCAGTCAGCGTCTCAAGGAAGGGACACCACTGATCAGCTTCTGACGGGTTCCTCAGGGCCACTTCCACCACAGGTAGTGGGGCTTCACTGTGTAACATATAATGCTATTATGTGTTTATTATGCACAGCGTTGTGTGTGTGTGGGTGTGTTGGAGTTGAGGATAGGGCTAAGTAAATCAAATATCGACGCAAATTGTTACAAGGTCTTTAATAAATAAATGTATAAATAGGACTTTGGCTGATCTACAACACAACTGGTCATTCGTTCATAAATTTAGGAAATGATGTAAACAGATTTCATTTAAATGGAGTTAAATGATTAATATGTTTTCTCGTTAACTAATGTGCTTAACAAATTGAAGCATAAGCTATGTTTATAGGTTTCATAAATTAAAACACAAACAATAAAATATTAAGCGGACGCCCAACTGACCTGAATGCGTAAGTCCTCTGGTGCCAACTCAACTGACCTCGAATGCTGTACGATATGGCTGTCACAAACTCTCCTCCCAATCCCAACTCAGCACACAACTTGGCAGCAAATTCTTCTGGAACATTCTCTTTCTCGGATAAGTCCCATTCAAACTGGTCTGCCAAGGAGATGTTGCCCACATGGATGTTCAGCTGAAATTTACATGAAACGATGGTTCCCAGTTTAAACAGAATATGTGAAAAATATTTTATAGGAACGAGACAGCTCTAAAAACTCAAGTTGCCAGAGTATCTGGATACAGGATCTAAATTGCATGCCGGCTTTTAAAGTTAACTGCTTTGAGTTTCAAGATTACATGTTTTTGATGACCATACTAAACCCCAGTAGCAATATTTTTTTTATTATTAATATAAAAAGTATCAACGTCATCCATTCAAGTTTATTTCACTGAAAATTAATTTATTATTAAAAATAAAAAATAAATAGCAATTTTTTTTATAAAAATTATAGCGATTGAAAAATTAGTAGCCAATCAATCAATCATCAATTAGATTTATAAAGTCCAATTTCCAAAAATTCAGCTAAGCTTAGCCAAAAATTTGCAAAACTGTTTCGTTAATAATGGACTACTCATGTAGAAAAAATCTCAGGCATTGGACTCCGCGAATTACTGGCATTCTTACCGGTATTTCAGTATTTGAACCTGAATCCAGATTGGGAACTGTTGCTTGCATACATCACACAATTTCTCTACCTCATTCTTTAGATTAATTTACAACCACATTTGATGGTAGGTGCTGGCAAATTTACATAAGCATAATAGAAAAACACTGACTTTAATGATAACTCGTTGATCACTCTGGTCCTCTAAAATGTTGTCCACTGGATAGCAATCAATTTGTTGTCTGATTGATTGGGCGATGGCTGGTATGAAGTGAATGGGGTTCAAATCCAAATCGTCACACAAGACTTCTGCAAACTGTTCCGGCGTTATCAGCTGCTCTGAAATTAATTATTTTTTGCTGTAAGTAAGCCATATCCATAATCAGCCTTCAGTATAGAAAAAAAATCGTCAAAAGACAAAAGGAAACTTGAACCTTAGAAAAAGACAAATGTACTTTACACATGCAAATCCAACATAACTAATTATACGATGGTTATTCTCAACAGACACTCAGTCTGTATATAATAAGAAACAGCACAATCACTCGAACGATCAACAATACAAACCATTCTTGTTCCACGTGAAACAATCCCTAAGCTTCTGACCTTCAAACTCGATATCCAACCTTATGGGAACAAGAACCTCAGGTTGTGTGGAGTTCTCGTGAATGATGGATGGATCGAGATCATCGTAACTGTGAGGTTATAGTTGTGTGAATGTTGCTGTTGTTGTGTTAATGTTGTTGCAGTTGTGTGAATGTTGTTGCGGTTGTGTGAATGTTGCTGTTGTTGTGTGAATGTTGTTGCGGTTGTGTGAATTTTGTTGCGGTTGTGTGAATGTTGTGGTTTGGCTTGCTGATCGATATTTTTACATGTATTATATATTAGAAAGCTTTGGGGCTGAAGCCTTCTCGACAATAAAAATATTTTTGCTAGGGTTAAAGCTAAAATGAACAAAATTTCTTTATAAATTTGTAAAAATTTGAACTAAAATTTGTCTTTTAGTGCTATTTTGATATGGGCATATATAGCTTACGTTTAAGCCCATTATTTATTTTTATTTATTTATTTATATTTCAGTCCTACAAGAATAAAGTTGAGTAAATTTTACATAAAACACTGGAGTACTGGTTTTAACAGTGAAATTTGTTAGAAATTGAGTGATAAGCCAAAAAAGGCCGCCAAGTCTATTTTGAACAAATTTAAGTCTTCCAAAACAAACTTCTAGCAGATAATATATTCTTAAAAGTTATGTAAGGGAGAATGGCCAAGAATTTTCAACTAGATTAGAATGAGGATTAGATAAAAATTAATGAAAAATTGTTTTAAAAATTATTAATGAGATTAAGTTATAACAATGTTGAAAGTGATGGGAACTAAACTAAATTTTTTTAGTTAAACTTAGTCTGAATTAAAAAATATAATTTAACTAATCAATTTTCATAACATTTTTAAAGTAGTTAAAAAAAACTAAAAAAAATTGGTTAAACTTAGTTAAACTTTCCCTAACTAATTCTGTCAAAAAAATGTCCGAATGACTGCTAAATCTTCATCGCATTTTACAACCAGCAGATTATTTCTAATGATAAAAAATGAAATGAACATAAAGTGTTTCCAATGTCAGTCTGAATCTGAAATGCTATGATCATTGTAACGAGAACGTAAAAATGAAGTATGCCAAGCATTTCATCAGCCATTTAATAGAATTTATGATGCTGTGCTGAACATTTGTTCAACAGCTGCAAATCTACAAAAATTTAGAGTTGGTTTTTAAAAATGTTGGTCTTCTATAAATTTAAATTGCATTGCAATCTGCATTCTTGACTTTGGTCCACTTTCTCACTTGGCAATCACTTTCAGTATTATTTAAACTGAAATGATACAATTTGTTATATTTATTTATTGGCAATAGAATGAATGGATTGACAACTTCGAGAACAACCATCAAACAGGATTAGCAGCAACAAGCATCGCGCGTTTTTTACTCAAATATAAAGTTACCAAAGATATATAATAAGCTATTTATTAATTATTTACTGCAGGCCAGTGTTATTGGAAAAATTTAAAAAAATTTCAAGCTCAGAAAAAAATGTTGCAAGAAAAGTTTAAAAAATTTATAGTTGAACTCTTTAGTTACAACTAAAAAAGTTAAACTTTTATTTTGTAGTTAAACTTTGACCTTAACTAACTTTTTTTAGTTAAAGAAAAAGTTAAACTTAGTTAGTCACTAAATGTAAGTAAAAAATAAATGTGGTACCAGAGTGGGTAGGTTTTCAGTTTAGCAGCAGCATTCTTGTTCTTGCTTATCATTGTTGAGCACGGAATGGCATCCAGGTGGTGAGAGTTGCTTGGCATGTTGCCAACCCATCCACTGCCCTTCTTACATTTCACATCTCTTTTCAATTTTAAAGATTGAAAAAGTTAAAGGTCATTCTCTCTTTTGCATTTGCTTCAGAGGTATCAACAACAAACACATACAGCTTATATGAATATGAATACTTATATGAATACGTCTGAAAACCACGCATCACACACATTGCATATGATAGGAGAGGATCTCTTTGTACTCGAACCCAATGACTGCAACGGCAAGACCAGGCATATTTAATCATTGAGCCATCATGCTGCCCATTATATTCAACATATTCGCACATACATTGCAAACATGCATGCATGCAAACACAAACACTCCCACAAGGGCATGCAATATGTTCATAAATATACAAATAGTGATATGGCTAAACAAATTGCAATGAATTAAATAACATAAAAATAGGTGAGCATGGTAATGAAATATTGAATAAAACCTCGGAAGATTGATGTCTGACGAGACAGAAAGAGCCTTGTACTTATCATCCTTCCCTTCAAAAATCTCATCAACCTCTGATGCCTTCAGCAACGTGATGTTCGATGCCAAAGAGTGCTGGCCAAATCCAACTAAAATAAGATGGAGCAGAATGTTTTTATCGAAGGTTAGAACGTGAAAGTTGGTTTAAAACTGGAATTTAAGAAATGTAAGAAAATAATTTCATAAATTAAAAAAGAAACAGGTCTTTGCACGAGTTAATTTGTTAATATCACATTCTTAGTGCATTGCAAAAGAACAGTGCATGCATGCTCAAATGGAGTAGTGATATAAGATCAGAAAGACATGGACATCTAACATCTAGTGAGGGGAAGGCAACTAACGTAATTGACACAACTTCTTCCTCTCCTCAACATTCATCTGCCTCCTCCACAACGATGGATACCTTTTGTACAATGAGCCTCGAAACATTCGTAGGTAATTTCCCACCTGTTATAAAACATTTCATCATCTTCAATATAATTAATTCAACAAGTTCAACCACTCAACCTCTGACAATTAATTGAGAGAATTAAGAAATGAAAAGAATTACTAATAATTACACTGACTGACCACATTAAACAACAGTTACATCCAATTAAAGCAAAGTTGATCTAGTAATTACAATACTATACGTCAACTCAGTTGCAACATAACACAACTATAAATACAAGTTGAGCAACTAAATACAAAGAAGCCAACCTCTGAACCAACATAGAACACTTCGCCATCTTCCTCTATTTGGAATGGTTTCGGTTTCTCACCAAATGTTCTCAATCCTTGAACGCTTGCTGCCATGTCTGATGCATGAAATTTAAAATTTGTTTGAAATAGTAAATTGAATGAGACAGCCAAAATTTATTGGTGAATACATTTGGATGTAAAAATTTAATTTTATGAACTTGTTTGACATTATTTACAGGTAGAGTTTAGGATAAGGGAAAATATACTATATTAAATGTAAAGAAGTATGCAAAAAATAATAAAAATCACACACATATTTTTGTTAATCTAAGTTTATCTAAGTTTATTTTTCACTTTATTCATTATATACTCACTCAATTAAATATATATCTTACAAATAATATTTGCATGGTAGGCAGAATGGTTTAATTTTGCCAAAAGTCAAAGCTCTCCAGTAAAATTAAAATCTTAAAATCATTTAATATTAATTAACTATTTAATAAATTAAATTAAAGTATTAATAATAACCAACGGAATAAAACAAAATAATTAGGCACTTTTTTTTATCCAACCACTAAAGCATTTTACGATTTAATAGTCATTAATAAAGTTACATTTTATATTGTTAATAAACTCTTTATTAAGGTCACAGATTTTATGAAATCACTTTTTATAAAAAAATAGAAATGTTAAGAGTAAGACAATAATTATTCTGGTGGTTAAGGTTAGGCCAGTCAGGGTTTATTTTCTGGAAAAGTTTTTGGGTGATAGAATAAAAAGCACACCAATAATTATTATATTATATATTATATTATTATTTGTTTTATTTTTATTACTATTCTGAATTCTTATATAACAGAAATTACAGAGTTATTGATATTGAATTTTATAAAAATCTAAGCTTTTACTTAACTCTTTCTTAATTAACAACTTAACAAAAATAAATAAATTAATTAATAAACATAAGTAAAAAAAGAACACCAAAAAACAGTGAACACTGAACACACTGCATTGCGTTGAACAGTGACTCAGTGAGTAAACGCCATATAAATATATTATATCAGAATATTAGTAGATTATTATCATGTTATAATAACATAATACAATAATAACATAATTACAATAATAATTATATAAATAAATTATGTCATTCATTAACTAATTATTCTAGTTAGGCCCTGGGCCAGATTAATACCAGAGTATTGTATGAATGAATGAATCATTCAATCAATCAATCAAATTTGTTTTTTAAACTCTAAAACTGATCAAACCAACGAACCTTTGCCGAATTATTAATTAATTAACGAACAACTTGCTGGGCCCACAACACAGGGACTCCAATGTAACAATAACAATATCCAAACGTAAGTCCAGTTAGTGACTGATGGGTGCTACAGATGGAAATCCTTTATATTCTAATTATATGACTCGTATAATATTTAATTTAAAAAAAATTGTTGAGGTAATTGTTGAAAAAAGGTATATATTTGTGTATTGTAAAGTTTTACATATTTTTGAATTATTTTTATTAACATTGCTTTCGCTTAGGTTTAACATTTTTAGCGATATACACACGGATATATATAATATCCATGGATATACATGGAGAAGGCTAGGCTTTATCTTTGATTCTCAGATTTATAGTGTTGCTAAAAGTTCTTACTTTCATCTCCGTGAAATAGAAAAACTTTTGCTTTTGCGTTACGATCCTACTCTTCTTCTTCTTGTTACTTCTTTAGTTTTATCTTGGATTGATTATTGTAACTCGCTTTACTTTGGTCTTACTGATTCTACTCTCTATCCTTTAAGTAAAGCTTTTAACTCTACTGCTCGTCTAGTTGTTCGTGTCCCTTTTTTTCTCATATCTCTTGTTTTTTTGCATTGGCTACCTATAAAATATAGAATAATTTTTAAAATTGGCACATTAATGTATAAGTCTCAATCTAAATTATCCCTAAGTACATATATATATATATTAATTGAACCTAAAAACCCCGTTTTACGATCATCTTCTTGTTCTCAGTTTTTCTTAACTCGTGTTAAACACTCTTTTGCTAAATCTGCATTTGCTATTTTTGGATCTTTTTTCTAGAACTTTCCACTTTTCTGACTACTTCTCCATCACATACGGAGTTCAGAGCGGATCTCAAGACTCACCTGTTTGCAAAATTCGAAATTTGAGGAGCGCTGTTGAACATCGCGGAAATAGCGCTTTATAAACTAATTGATTGATTAATACAATTCATACATTTTTGTATGAATTCTATGAGTTGTTGGCTTGCATGGAATTCATACAAAATTGAAAATTATAATTCATTTAATTATAATCTAAAATTTAATTATAATATGCGTATCAAATTATAATTAGTTAATTAATATTTGATTAGTCTTACTGTATTCCATGTCTCAATAACGTAGCCCACCCTCCCCTTTATGCTGAGAAAACATGAAGTAAAGAGCTTTAAAATAATGGTAATAAAAAGATTAACGCATGAAATATAGGGGGAAAAAAGAGAGAGAAAGCGAGAGAGAGAAAAAGAAGAGAGACAGAGGAGGATGAGGAAGAAAGGGAGGGGGAAAGAGAAAAAGGTTATCCGATTAAGCAAATAAACCTACAGAAAAAAAGTAGATGAGTATTTAATTAGAATGAAACAAATTGCATCGTTTCAACTTTCAAGCATTCGGGCGCTAAATTACCATCAGAATTATTCAAGAATGAAAAAAGCAGTACATAATACAATATATTACGTAGGCTAAAATATATGACGATCTATAAATTGGTCTGGATTCACGTTCATTCAATTCAAACAAAAAGTGATTAGACGATTGCATGATCAGAAATGAAAGTACCAGAAAAACAGGTGGGTCTTAAAAGCGGAAAAAGAACTCAAATTTACAAAATATTGTAAATAACAATAATTAGAATGGAAACATCTTTAATGGAAAAATCTAAATTGGAAAAAACTGAAAAGGATTTAAGTTTGCTGATGACGTTGATCTGCTAGCATGCTTGCATTAAATGAAGTACAGATGGTTTGTAAAAACAGATTGAGATGAAACATAAGGGCGTTAAAAATCGTGGATTGCATGTTAACAAAAACAAAAGTGAAGATTTGAGAGGAAAATGAAAATAGTGCAAAAAATCAATAGACTCGAAAAGATAGAACTTGTCATCAATCAGTTTATGTACTACGTAAGCTGTTTTCATAATGCGTGCGACGCGTAAAAATCTGTTAATCAAAACAAAAAATAACAAAAAACGTATAGCTATCGTACGCAATTTTTGTTTCGTTAAAAGAAAATAGGAGAAAATTTAGGAAAAATAAAATCAGTGCAGAATCTCAAATAGAATGTGAAAAAATATAACAAGTCGTGCCTAATCCTTTCAGAATATTGGCGACCATCGACCTTCACAAAACGCAATCTTTTACACTTTGTAGTAGTTGAAATGTAATAATATTCAACAAGTGAAATTAAGACTCCACGGGTATTATTCGTTTTTGACCGCGATCTACTCTCCCTGCAATCTTTCCAGTAGTTAGAATTTCCATTCATTCCTTCCAACTTTAACTACTCCCGCTGTATTATTTGTAGTAATTTCCTCTTTTCATAACCGGACTGTTTTAATACATCCTCATTGGAGGTATAAGAGGTCCAACTTATGTTTCCTCCAACTAGTCATCAGTAGGGTTAGTAGGATTTTATAACCCCGGTGACTCGACTACAAAAGAAGAGTTTTCTAGGATATGTTTTGTTGAAAAAATTGCGCAGTTAGTCAGTTCAGTTGACCAGTCCGTCTTCTAGTTTCTATCTCACTTGCTCAAAAGAAATTTAACTGAAGTACTGCTTGAAAAACGAACAAATGAAAATTTTATAAGATACCGTTGATTTATCTTTTATCTACTTTTTATAATAATTAAACTTATTAAATTACGGGTAATTAAATATACTATACATTTATAAATATATAATATATATATGTAATATAAATATATATGTAATATATATATAATATATAAATATATATATATATTATATATATTTATATATAAATTATTAGACAACCTCACTTCCAACTCGGCGCTTAACAAACAACGAAAACAAAGAAGTAATAAAAACTAGCATCGTAAATAGTGACAAAGAAGAATATGATGTTATCGATGAAGAAAAGGAGACCAAAGAAGATGACCAGCCAATTAAGAAACCTGACACCTAATTCGCATCAAAGTTCAATTTTACAACACCAAAGTGACAACCTCACTTCCAACCCGGCGCTTAACCAACAACGAAAACAAAGAAGTAATAAAAACTTGCATCGTAAATAGTGACTAAGAAGAATATGATGCTATCGATGAAGAAAAGGAGACGAAAGAAGATGACCAGCCAATTAAGAAACCTGACACCTAATTCGCATCAAAGTTCAATTTTACAACACCAAAGTGACAACCTCACTTCCAACCCGGCGTTTAACCAACAACGAAAACAAAGAAGTAATAAAAACTTGCATCGTAAATAGTGACTAAGAAGAATATGATGCTATCGATGAAGAAAAGGAGACGAAAGAAGATGACCAGCCAATTAAGAAACCTGACACCTAATTCGCATCAAAGTTCAATTTTACAACACCAAAGTTAATTTTTACAACGTCAAAGTTAATCTTGACAAAGTCAATATTTCCCTATATATACAGTAAGGAGCACTGACGATGATTCATTCGGAATCGAAATATGGCCTTATTTGCAGCATGAATTCGAAAAATAAGTTTATCTTGAATTTTAATAAACTAAACGTTCACCAAAAAACTTTAGTGAGAAAAATCGAAAAAACGAACTACAAACATATTAACGCTAAACATTCGGTAGAATTTATAGAATATTGTAAAAATTATGGTCTATTACCAACATAAATATATATATATATATATATATATATATATATATATATATATATATATATATATATATATAATACTTGTTTTTTAAATAGAATAGAATATAGATTACTTATTACTTATATATGTATATATATATTGAACTGATATATATACATTTAATGGTTCTTAATAAAGTACCTTGAAGCAATTTTGAAGAGTAGGTTAAGATAGACATCAAGCTTTATGTGATACGTAGAATACCCTTCATAAAAGGTAATTTTATTTATTATTTCGCAATTGCGTTCTTTGTATTTTGTTCCTAAAGCTGCAGGAATCTGGAAGTATGTTCGTTCAAATGTTTCATTTGAAGTGTTGAATTAAAGGAATTGTGCTGCAGCTTCTTATAATGTTGTTTTAATGCACCATCAATTCACATTCATAAGAATCAATTTTAATTGCAAGAATTATTTATTATTTTATTATGATTATTATCAATTGACAATCGCAATTCAGTTTTCTATTTATTCATCAGATTTATTTACTCATACATTACACAATTACTTAATTATTATTCATTTTAAAATAATATATTATTCATGAGGAGTGGACTGCATATAGAAGAATTTATTTCTTTTTTTTAAAGTGTATTTCAAATCAGTCTTCTTTCCACTCTAATCTAAGGGTTTGCCGACTTCTGTGTCTCTTCCAGACACTGCCTAGTCTGCTGCATGCCATATTAATATTAACAACAACAACATGCTGTGATGCATTTTTGTGCATTGAGTCAGGTTACGTTAACGTTACAGTAGTAACATGTTAATTGCATTAATAAGATGACTGACAGCTTTAAATTATTCATCCTAATAACTATTGAAAGTTTTCATAAAGTATCAATTAATTAATTGACAATAACTAATCTATTATTCAAATAGAAATTTTTATTACAATTCTTAATTCAAATGCCAAATGATAGTAATAAATAGAATTAAATTTGAAATACTACTAATTTAGACTTTTAGTTTTTTAGAAGAAAGAGAAAGGAAAGGGTTCTACAGACTGTTGTTCAGTTTCAACTAAAACTGTGGATTTATTTTTTTATAATTTAGAGCTAGTTAAGCCATCCACACAAATGAGCTTTTTTATAATCTAGATAAAAAAAATGTTGAAAATGTTTGCAATTTGGCTAAGCCCGGTGACTATTTAACAATGTGCACAATTATTATTATTATTAATAGAAAACTTAATATAGCGTTCGTTGTAGCAGTTTTCACAAACGCTATCAAATTATAACTAATATTAACAACAAAATAGCAAGAATGAAAAGAGATGAACTATAATGAAAAAAGGTATGTCTTTAATTGTCTTTTAAATTTAGCAATGTTCATTCTGAGGGCTGACGGCAAGCCGTTCCATACGTCAGGGCCTGACACAGCAAAATCATGCGATCCAATCTTTAGCTGTCTATGAGGAATTACAAGAATGTTCGAATCGTCCGACCTCAGACGCACACCAGATGCGATCAACGTTTTTAATTTTTGTTTATCTGATAAATATTTTGGAGCCAGACCATTTAGTGATTTGAAAACTGTGACAGAGATTTTAAAAACAATTCTTTTATTTATGGGCAACCAATGCAAATCACTCAGGATCGGTGTGGCATGATCATACCATTGACATCCAGCCACAATCCAGGCAGTACGGTTTTGTATCGATTGCAGAATTTTGATGGATCTAGCCGGGAGTCCATAAAATAAACTATTGCAATAATCGACACGTGAGTGCACCAACGTATGCGCCAGAGTCTACATTGCGTCTTTATCAAGTGATTTTCGAATTTGTTTCATTCTTCTAATCTGTGCCAAGCATGATATAGAGATCATCTTTAAATGAGATTTCATTGTTTGAATCAATTATAAAACCTAGGTTCGACACGGCTTTACAGAAATCTATTTTTTTATCATTAATGACAACTGAATTTATATCCAAGTCCGCCAACTGCTGCCAGGTACCAATAGGAAGAAATTTTGTTTTACCCTGGTAAAGCTTCAATTCATTTCTCGACATCCACAGATTAACCTCTGCCATACACTCAATGAATCTCGTCTTGAAATAATTTCGGTTTACCTGATAACATAATTTCAATGTCGTCTGCATATGCATGGCTTTTAAAATCATATGAATCAATTATCTTCAGCACATCAGATGTATAAAGCAGAAACAATAAAGGACCCAAAACAGATCCCTGCGGCACACCAAAGCGAACCACACTGACGTAGGACAAACTCCCGTTGAACGAAACCTGCTGTGTTTGGCCAATCAAGTAGCTTCTGAGCCAATTTATTATTTCCCCAGATATTCCAAAATTTTGATGTAACCTGAGCAGTAACATTTCATGATTGACACAGTCGAAAGCCGAGCTCATGTCCAAAAATGCCAACAAGGAAATGCTTTGAGCATCCACCTCAGCATAAACCCCTGAGAGAACATGCAGCAGGGCAGTTTCAGAGCAGGGCACAATTTTGAGATGTATATAAATTGCAACCGAAGTGTGTATGTTTATAATATGCAGCCAGTAAGATAGAGAAGGTGCAACTAAAATGTTCATCAAACATAGACAGAAATATATGCGGCTGGAAAAAACAAACATGTAAAAGTATTTTTTATTTGTGATTATTTACAATAGCATCAGTTAAAAGCTATCATCCCAATAAATTTTTTTCTTGCATTTTGTTTAACAAATTAATATAATATATCTATCAGAAGTTGCATAGTAATTTCAATGCAACATTTTAACCATTGGTAATTCAACAAAGTAAAATTGAAATGCAGTTTTTTAAAGTGCATAGCATAAATAACGAATTTCCATTGTACGGTAGTTCAAATTGTTGTGTTATTTCAGTTCTTGTTAATTAAATCAGTTATATTCAAAAGTTTGGACAAAATCAGAGATCTGCTCTTAGTGTAACATGCATGTCACAGTGTGGGGAAACATACATTTTTGGTTGTAGAAAACCAGCATGCATCTCTGATTCAAATGAACATTTGAGGGAAACATTTTATGCAGTGGATCCTAATGGTGTTTGGTTGTTGGAGATAAGAGTATTCTGCAAATAAACTTATGTTATAGTTGATACCTTCAAATGCCTTCATTGGTAATGCTGTTTGTTACTGTTTTTTTCGTTATAATTGTTGCATCAGAAATATTTAAATGGTGTTGAAATTTTAACAAAATTTAGAAAAAATGGCTGCTGAGAAATTGACTCCAGTTGAACTTGAGAGCATTCGTCTGTTGGATTGCAAGGCAAGATCAATCAGTAATGACCAGATATTTGATGTGGTGAGCTAGCACCTTCGATCATTCTCACGCATCTTCTCATTTACCAATGATTCTTATCATCTTTGTTTCGTTATTATTTGGTTACGCTGTGTTTCATTTTTTAAACTTTGTTCTCCAATATTCTGTGGAATTTTTTCATTTTATATTCAGTTACTATGTTAATATTTTTGTATTTCAATCCAAAATAATAAGTAAATGAATAAATTATATATATATATATATATATATATATATATATATATATATATATATATATATATATATATATATATATATATATATATATATATATATATATATATATATATATATATATATATATATATATATATATATATATATATATATATATATATATATATATATATATATATATATATGTATATATAATATGTATTAGGGTTTCCATTGCTTAATGTTTCATAACAATACTGCATGCTTATAATAATACTTTTGCTTAATATTTTTATCAAGTCAGTTTGCATGTTATTTTGTTCTTTTGACATAAATGTTGTGTACGTGTGTGTACGTGTGTATGTGTGGCCAATCACGTATTTGAATGATTCATTAAGGAGGAGAATGTGAGGACAAAGTTTGGACCAGTGCATGTAGTGATGCATGGAGACAGGAGGAACCCAGCCATATTGACCTACCATGATATCGGTCTCAACAGTAAGTAGTCCCAGAGGTCTTGATGCATTTGTGTATGTTCATATATATATATATATATATATATATATATATATATATATATATATATATATATATATATATTGGATTAAGACTGTCAGAAATGTAATTATTGATGACAATCACAGCAATTTTAATGTTAGTTAACTTCCAATTAATATGTATACATTTGTATACAATTAATTTTAATATGCTAACCCAAATTTGAAGTTAAGTTAGACCGAACATGCTGTGATTTTCATCAATAATTATATATATAATATATATATATATATATATATATAGGATAATAAAAATGATATAAAAAGTACGGCATATAATAAAATCTAACCTAGGAATAGTAAACAAAATTAATCAAAGATAAGATACTCCGGTGTTTCTTTCAATTCTAAAAATAATTAAAGTAGTTCCAGTTTTTAAAAAAGGAGCTTACACAGAGATCAATAAATTAATTATAGGCCAATTTCTCTCTTGTCAGCTCTTTCAAAAGTTATGTAAACAGTTGTTTAAAAAAGATTGCTGTCTTTTTTTTCAAATAAATATAGCACAATTTCATCACATCAGTACGGATTTAAAAAATATCTTCAATAAAGAACTAGGCCATCCTTGATCTGGTTATTTGCATCTCTGGTGACATTAAAAAGGCAAATATTGACATTAAATGTTTTTTTGATTTGCTGAAGATTTGTCAATCGACCATGGCCTTGGTTGCAAACATTTTCCAGTTACGATGTCAGAGGTCTGTTACTAAAATGGTTGAAAAGCTATTTATTAGAAAAAAGACATGTTGATTTAAATGGATTACAGTCAGGGGTTAGGTCAGCTTGTTAAGGTTCGATTCTGGGACCACTGTTATTAATTATATGTTAACGATATGGGGCATTCATCTGGGAGTTTTAAGCTAACACAGTTTGCTGATGACAGCACAGTGATGTTGAATGGTCGTGATGCTTATTCTGTATATACAGTATTCCATAAATTTTACCACTTACATTCACATCACCATTTCACCATTTATAATCACTTTATCATCTCACCACTCGCAATCGCATCACCATGTTGCATGACCAGGCACCTCGTGCTTCCAAGGTTTCTTCAATTACGTTGAGATGCAGGTCATCATGAAGAACTTCTGCGTCTACCACGTCAATGCCATCGGCCAGGAAGAAAATGCTCCAACTCTTCCTCAAGGGTATGTGTGTTTGTGTGTGTTTATGTCTTTGTTGAAAACTCTTATGAGCTGTGTTGTAGTACTATAAAAAATTTCATAACATTCTGGAGAATTGTTGAAGCCGCTGTGCTTTTGTAGAAAAACAGTCCAAACAAATGCTTTACTTCACATAACACATCGATAAAAAAAGTGTGGCCATGAGAAGGTTGGCTGACCTACATTGACCAATCTTAATAAACTACAATGCATTACTATATGATATGGCAAGTTGGCTTTGTTAACACATTTCTTTATTTAAAAAATCGGACTCTGACAAACCCAGAATCCGTTACAACATACAATAAATCAGGTTACGTATAGAGAATAAAATATTGAACTATTTAGTTAAAAAAGGAACTATGTGCTCGAACTAATAAAAATAAAGGGTTTAATTATTAACTAAATAAATAAATTATAAATGTTTGTGTGTAGCAATTGGTATTTAAGTAAAATTCCAAAGCTAAAACTGAAAATCTTTTTGGAAGTAGGAATCCGGAGTCGGCCAGTCGAGGTCAAAAATTTTCAAACAGGTTGTTAGAGTTGAAAAAAATTTCATCCGAATCCGACACTGACGGCATGAGAACGTTTCAAAATTGGTCTACGTGCCTTTCACATGCTCATGCCGAATAAAAATATGAAAGATTTCTTATACGTATAAAATCATTCATCAATTTATACATTTCTAATGAAGAAATTACTTATTAATAATTGAAAAATGTGATTTGAAGGTTGGGCTTAACTGATTCAGCCCCTTTGGCCACAGAGTTTGTTGAATTTTGTTGGCTTTTTTTTATCATATACTTTTGTATTTTAGATTAGCATGTGTTTTAGATTATTTGCATCATTCAATGTTATTTCATTCTTATCAACATAACATCACCTGCATTACATTCCAACATTTCTTCATCATTCTTATCATACCTATTTTCTAATTCTCTTCCTCCTCTTTACCTCACAACTATTCGGCTTGTATCAATACCGCCATCACTAATACAAGATGACATGAGCTCACCATCACCACAATATCGTCCCATCAAGTCACCATGGTTACCAGATACACACAGCCACCACCAACACCAAAATTTTCACGTCAGCCACACACACCACCATTGTTCCCCTAATACCAGATACATCTACCCGTCAATGGATGAACTGGCCAGCACACTGGTCACTGTGCTTGATCATTACAAGTAAGTTAACTTATCATCTTCAGCACATCCCACCATCCTCATCATCTCCATCACCACACTCAGGCTGTCTTGTTAAAACAATGTCTTCCCAAACTGTTCAGTGTTCACATCTTTTACAACATTTCGTTGCTTAAAAAATCGCGTGAGACAGTCAGTTTCTAGAAAGCAATGTGTTTCATACGCTGGAACAACTCCAGCATGCTAAAAGTTATGGGGGATTTTGTATGTTGACGCTTTTTTATTCTATATGGGCGACGCAATTTTGTTTATTTCAGGTCGTAAAAGTCCGTAAATTTTGATAACTACGAAATATTACAAGAAAATTAGTCATGAATATAAATTATTTGAAAATAAATGATAGGAAAAAATAGAATTATTAAAAATTTCAAGCTGTTAAAACATTTAACAAATGAGAAAAATATTTATGAAAGAAATTTTGTTTAATTTTGTTGGAACTTTTGTGAATTTAAAGGCCTCTTTAACGTGTTTTAATTGTTTCTAACTTGATGTGCAAACATATATGCAAAAACTCTCAATTTCTTCCGCACCTTCCTGATGATTTAGTGGAAGTCAGGGAGAAGCGCCATTTTGAACGAATTTTAAAATCACGAAGTTGTTTGTTTATAAAAAGCTAAACAATGCGCGAATACCTATAATAAGCGATGTGCCCATAAAAAACGTCTGAGGTAACACATCTATTTTAAACAACGCAGCCTAACAATCGTCTTCTTTCTCACCATCCCATCATCTCCACCATCACACTCATCTTCCTCGCTACAATCCTTTCCATCGCCACACTCATCTTCTTTAGCACCATCCTCATCATCTTCATCTTCTGTAGCACCATCATCTTCATCACCACATTCATCTTTAGCACCATCCTCATCATCTTCATCACTACACTCATCTTCCTCACTACCATCTTCATCACCAAACTCATCTTCTTCACCTCATTACTACCCTCAACATTTTCGTTATCACTTTCATCAACTTCATCACTTTTGTCATTATTCTCGTCCTCTCCGTCATTCTCATCATCTTCATCACCGTCTTAATCGCCATCCTTATCAACTTCACCATCATCACCATCCTCATTATCTGAAGAGAATAAGACTGGGAAGAATTTAAAATTTTAATTCAATCACTCAAATATATTGTTTGTTTCGTGTCACGTTAACAGTTTGAAGACAATCATTGGTTTTGGTGTGGGTGCAGGAGCTAACATTCTATCTAGATTTGCTGTGAGTTGATTGATTCGATTGACTGGTTCATTGGTTGAATGGCTGGTTTGTTGATTGATAAAATGGTTAATAAGTTAAATTATTGGTTGGTTATATGACTAATTAATTAATTGATTGATTGATTTGATTGATTGATTGATTGATTGATTGATTGATTGATTGATTGATTGATTGATTGATTGATTGATTGATTGATTGATTGATTGATTGATTGATTGATTGATTGATTGATTGATTGATTGATTGATTGATTGATCGATCGATGGTCAGCTGACTGGTTTATTTATTTAGTTGATCAAATTCTGGACTGACTGACTATATGACTGACTGATTGATCTGATTGATTGATTGATCTGATTGATCGCTTTGCTGCTGCTTGCCGCAAACATGACTGAACGTTGCTTAGACATTCATGCCGGTTTGTTTTTTTTATGACGTAATATTGCCACTTGTTTCTTGCTGTGGTTCTTTTCCTGTTTCATCTTTGCTTTTATTATGAGCTTTTCAGCGTCATCTTACCTACCTGCACATTTTTTCAGCCAACTATTAAATAGACGATTAAACGACCTTTTAAAAGCGAGAGCAGGAATTTGGATGATAATTCAATTCTAAATTAAACAATTCCCAGAAAATTCTAGTAAGAAAGTTTGAAAAGACAAACTTGTAATTGGTTAATGAGTTACTTGAACATGAGCCGAATATTTGGACGTACCTGACGCTATGCTCGTTCTTATTGTTGTTATTATTATTATTATTAAAACTCATGCTAAACTACTAGGAAAAAGGACACCTGAAAATTTGGTCGATTGAGTCTTGTTGATAGAGGCATTATTTAATAAAAGATGAACATTAAGGGTGTCGGTTCGAATTTAGGGTCCTAATAAAAGTTAGCGTGAGTTTGAGTAATATTTATTCTTAGATTAGCTTGACTCCCGCTATATAACAATTCTTTATTAAAAATTGGTATCACTTGTTTCTGTAGCTATATATACGTACGTCATTGAATAAGTGTATGTGATGTGTGTGCATTTTTATTGATCCAAGTATATCACCAGGTTAATTAAATTTTAATGCGCAGAGCACATTCCGTCTTACACAAATAATTTGATATAAATAGATCTGTTGTTCATCAGAATACTCATGAATAATGTATTGTTTTTCATGCGTCGTGCGTGATGCACGTGTTGTGTGTGTGTGATGTATGTAATGCTTGTGTTTGATGTGTTGTTTTTATTGTAAACTGCGTTCATCACTCAAGAGGCTCTTAATACATTTGTATTGCTTGCAAATGAGCTTTGTTTAAATGCTTGTTGTCTGTCGTCGTTTGTTGTGAGGCAGTCGAATCTGGTTCTTTTTAGTGCTAACCAATAAATGCTTTCATTTTTTCTGTTTGTTTCTGCTTTGATTGTATCTGATGTTGTAATGTTTACGTTCTTGCCTTATCTAGTCAACCAACATTAAAATAAAATCGAAATATTAGTGATGACTAACCTTTTTCTTAAAATATGTTAATGAAAAAATAAATAATGAGCAGTTTGTTGTTAGATATGTCCGAGTGTTTGTAGCTTAATATTGTGAGGCAGTAATTTATTCATTAAAATTATAATGCATTCAAGTTTATTCCGCCCTGCTAATTTCAATTAGAAGCCAGCATTAAATACAAATTACTATTCATATATGTGCACCTGTCAACGAATTTATACACTACGTAATAATTTACAACTTATTTATTTATGCCATCCACCCTGGCCAGATATATGTTTGGACCATTTTTGTAAGTGCGGTTGTCGTCTTTATGTTATGCGGATATGGTTAGATTATTGTGGCGATGAGGTGTTGTGCGAATTGGGTCCGGTGGTGTTTTGTCAGTTGTGAATGTTTGTTAACATTTTAATTGTTTGTTATTAGGAACTGTAATTTTAGATGAGTTGATAATGTTATGTTAACCAGCCTTTTGTATATGACCAGCACGTCAAAGAGCATGACGACACCACGTAACATATAACATGCTATATTATTTATTTAGTATGTTATTTGCTATATATTCACTGCTATATATTCGAGGCAGAAGCTTACCATTTTAAATATTAATAAACTTGTTAATACATTTCACATGGCACGACATCACATGCATGGCACTCAACACAACATCGCATCGCACGATATATTGATACAGTTATCGAGACCGGAACGTGTGGAGGCGCTGGTCCTGTTGAACGGCAATGCGTCACAGGCAGGTTGGATCGAGTGGGCGTATCAGAAGGTTCGTCCAATCAGCTCTTGTTGATTCGTAACTTCTCACTCACATATTTACTTATTACACGCACATACAAACGCACACGCATTCACATACGCAGTGGAATGCCTGGTACCTTAAAAGCGGTATGATGACGGCCGGCGTGGAAGAGTACATGATCTGGCATTGGTTTGGAAGTGTAAGCATTCTTTTTGTTAATTTCGTTCACCTTCCATCGTTCATTCAATTTTTTTTTCTAATTTATTAATATAGCTCAAATTAAGTTTTTTAGTGATTAATTAATTAAAAAATTGTTTTTTTTTTAGTAGGAAAACGCTATTTTTATATTATTTCCGATATTAAATTAATTTAAGAATTGAACAAAATTTCTTGATGACCAATATGTTCTGACAGCAAGTTTGTTTGTCTTGTAATTTTGCTTTTTATATTGCTTTCTAAATATAACACTTATTGAAAAACTTGGCAACAAGTTGTTAAGGTATATAACAATATATATAAATAAATAAATATATATATATCAATCAATCAATAAAACAATCATCGTTTAGCGTCCAGAGACCCAGTTCTACCGAGGTGGGACGTTGTTTTCTTTGCCATCAATTTTTTGCGCCAAATTAGGCGATCGGTTGTATCCATTTCATTTATATTTAGAGCTTTCATGTCTTGCTCGATTGTTTGCGACCAGGACTTCTTTGGCCGGCCTTTGGGACGTGTGCCAGATACTTCAACATCTGCAAGAGAAGTTATGGCTCTGTTTCCACTTCGTTTGACATGACCAAACCACTGCAGACGGTGTTGCCGGCATTCGTCCTTTGTATCATCTAAACCAGCACGACGCAGGATTTCGGTAGATTTGATGTGGTCCTTCATACTAATTCGTTGCATCCATCGTAGCATTTTCAGATCGGTTCGGTGAAGTTGTTTTTCCAGTTTGGTTGTCATTGGCCATGTTTCTGCACCATATATCAACACCGGACGTATCATAGATTTAGAAAGTTTTGATCGTAGTAGTAGTGGGATGTTACGCTGCATCAATATAGGGGCAAGGAGATGCCATTTATTCCAGGCTGCACGTATGCGTGCTCGAACGGCAGCTTTAGCTGTTCCAGTACAATCCAGAACATCTCCTAGATATTGAAACGATGTGACTTTCTCTACCTTAATGGCTTCAAAAACATTGCTATTTCGTATTTGTTGTTGTGGATTGATGCAAGCAGGACAAACAAAATTGGACACTTTAGATAAAGTACCAATTATTTTTGAACAACGTTTGTGACACCAATGGTTACACTGCTGACATTTGATTGAATTGTTTTGAATTGTTACCTACACCAGCTTTACAAACTGAACAGGGCATCGTCCAGTAACTGTGGATTGGATGGGTTCACCAGTGTTCATTGCTTTGGTTTTGCTGATGTTGACTTTGAATCCATGATCGGCGAGTCTGGTGTTCCAATCTTCAAACATCTGTGCTGCATTCTGCTCAGACGTGGCTGAGTTGTCAACGTAGACTCCACCTGATTGCTTCACGGGGATCTCGATCAAATGCTTTTTCAAGGTCTACAAAAATGTGTGATAGTTGTTGATGCTTTGCGAGGTACTTCTCTTGCAGTTGCCGAATGATGTGAATTGCATCAATTGTTGATTTCCCCGCTAGGAAACTAAATTGATAATTTCCGATTGTGATGCACGACGTTAATCTTCTCAATGATTTTCTCGAGAATTTTCAGGGATTGTTCTAACAGACGTATACCCCGATATGATGAACAGTTCAGTGGATCACCTTTGCTTTTGTATAGCGGAACTGTCATGCTATAGTTCCATTCAGTCGGCATTAAGCAATTTCTCCACACTTCACGGCAAAGTTGTAGTAACGTTTGGATACCTGCAGTAACAGATGCTTTGATAATGTCATTTGGGAGTCCAGAGGGCCCTGCTGCCTTTCCATCCTTCAGAGCTTCTGTTAGCTTCTCTACAGTGATGTTTGGAATTGGACCTTCGATGGTTGGAGCGTCAAAGTTGACATTGATGGGATTTGTTTCATTTAACAGACGGTTGAAGTATTCTCTCCACTGTAGCTTGATCTCATCTTGTTCAAGAACCATCTCATTTTTGTCGTTTTTGATACATGAGGCACCAACTATGTCTTTTTTCGTACGCTTTGCTTGGTTTGCTATACGATACAGACATTTCATTTGTTCACCTCTGCTTTTAGTGAGCCACTCTCTGCGCTTATCTGTCCAAGCCAGTGCAACTTGACGTCTTGCATAGTTGTTCTCACGGAAAATTTTGTGGTCATCAATAGACGATATTTGCCATTGCTTGTATGCAGCTTTCTTTTCAGCTATTGCATTTTGTACACTGTCATTCCACCACCACGTGTTCCGTTCATGCCGGCGTTTTGAACCTGTTTTCCCACAAACTGTAGTTGCAGCGTGTATCAAAACGGTTTTGTATGTACTCCAATCTGTATTGGATTGCGATTGGTTGTCTAACTGTGTGGCGACAATCTGTTGAAAAGTTTTGTCGATGAATATTGCTTTTCAGCTTCCACGTTTTGATTCACCGAGGTATTTGTTTAGACTTATGTTTTGACAGCTTGACAACCAGGCCTGCCACAAGGAGTCTATGTTGGGCGACACATGATTTGCCAGGTATAACTTTGACATTTTTCAATAACCTTCGGTGCTGTTGCTTGACAGCGAAGAAATCAATTTGCGTGGCTGATGGTCCACCTTTGTATGTTATTTGATGGATGTTTCAACCTTTTTTTAAAATATGTGTTCAGTAAACAAAACCGTGATTTTCAGCAAACTCAAGGATGCGGTTGCCATCTTCATTCCGTTCTACATAGCCAAAACCGCCTTGCACGTTGTCAAAACCACTTGTTTTTTCTCCAACGTGGCCATAGAGATCGCTTCCAATCAGGATTGTTCTAGATTTTGGTTTGTTAAGATGGTGTCAGAGAACACAGTCCAGAAGTAATTTTTCATCTCTTCTGATTCGCCTGTCTGTGGTGCGTATGCAGAAAAAATAGTCATTGTTTGCTTTTCTAGGCGAATCTTGATCCACATGAGACGTGAGTTAATCCTTTTAATATCCAGTACTTCTTGGGCTAGCGGTTCTTTGACAAAAATTCCAACACCATTTTTGGTCGTCTTTTGACCATTCAAGAATAGTTTATATTTTTCTTTGTCTGAATTGATATGACAGACACCATTTGATTTCCATCGGGTCTCCTGAAGGCAGCAGATGTCAATCCTACGCTCGAGCATTTCTGCGATTTCCAAGCTGCGGCCAGTCAGTGATCCAACATTGAGCGTTCCAAGTCTAAGTACCATAGAGGGGCCATTCTGAATTTTTCTGCAACATCCCTCCGCTATTGTATACTTCCCAGGGGTTCTTAGCACCCCTTGACCACTTAAGGCCTGCTGGGGACTAGGGGCCGTTGTTTTTTGTGTTGGCATAGAATAAATTTTGGGGAAACTTTTTACATCCGGACACCCATCCTGACGGCAACCACCATCAAATTTTGAGATCTCTGAATTTTTCAAAGCATTGTCTTCATTCAAGTTACGTGATGAATAGAATAAATTTGTGTCATCGGCGAAGAGAATACAGTTGACAATTGATGAAGCTTATGTAAATCATTGATGAATAAGAGAAACAAAAGCGGTCCAAGAATGAAACCTTGAGAGACTCCAAAATTTGCTGATAAATTGAAGGAGCCAGAACCATTCTCGTGTACATATTGTGATCTATAGAGAGGTAAGTGGTGAACCAATCCAATACTCGTCCACGACAGCCATAATGGAACGATTTGCTTGAAAGCAATTCATGGTTGATTGTGTCCAAAGCCTTAGTTAAGTCGATGAACACTCCTACGGTCATTTTCTTACTTTCAAGTCCTTTCAGTTGGTTGAATTCAATAATGGCTAGATTAGCTAAACTCGTACTGGCGGTTACTTAGGATATTACAACGAGCAATAAACGTAGTTAATCTGTTGAAAACTGCTTTTTCCGGAATTTTTAAAAAATGGGAGAGTAAAAAAATTGGCGTATAGTTTCCCACCAAATCTGGATTGCCTTTTTTGAAAACAGGAATTAACTTAGAAACTTTGAAAAGATCTAGAAAGGTGCTTGATTTTAAAGATGTGTAAAATTTTCTTTCCGGAAGATATTTCATCATGCGAGAAATTATTTATTAGAAAATGTTTTAAATTTTCACTAGCGAGACATAATGAATTATCATTTAGAATCCAAATTATTTACGACAAAATTAAACGGGGGTTAATCGCTATTTTTCTGAAGATGAATAGGAACAAATACGGGGTTTAAGCCATTTTTCTAGAGAATACTCCGCTGGAAACAGTTTCTGTTCTGATTAACATCATATAAATCTTAGAATCGCTCACACATCATAACTTCTAATTGCTAAACAGCTAAACATTGGCACGACAATGCTGAAATATTTCTTCAAATTATAACGAATAACTCGTGCGTAAGTCCTTAAATCGCAACATATGGCACTAGAAATCCACTGACCACTAAAATCATTGTCATTCCCGCGCTGTTACATGGATGTGAAACATGGTCAACTGCAAATATCTTTTTGAATAAACTGGACACATTGGTTCCTAGTCGGCCTGAAGACAAGATTAGAATCATACCAAAAGAAAACGTCTTGTGAATACGATAACATTCCACTACGAGTCACCATTACTACAATGTCATCAGTAGACATCTCACGTCATCGTAGCATATTATCATGTCATTAGAAGACAGGTGACACAAGCCAAGACTTGGTGAACGTGTATATGGAATACGTCAAGTCAATCAATCCCACCAATCTCGGACACTTCATATCATCCTACATCAGGTCGGTCGCTCTGATTATGATTCATTTAAGCACATCATCTTTTATGACAACATCATCTTTTATGACATCACTTCCAGTCATAAAACTCGCCACTAACATCACAACATGTCCGTTGTGTTGGCGGTTGCGATGCACTAAGCACACAGAGTATTATAGTTGACTCACTCCCCATCCCAAATCATGTAATGCAAATGCAATGAACACATTGACCTTGCAGACGTACAGACCTCGGCATCACCAGAGAACTGGATCACACTAAGAAGAACCATGTGAAAAATTTCTCGTTAGTTGTGTGTGTGATACGATCGCGTGTTTGATATAGTCGCTTGTTTGATATGGTCACATGTTTGATGTGAGCAACATGATCACATTAAACACATGATGATAGTTGTCGTTATTTGTTTTTTTTTTATTTCGTTTTTCAAGAAGTTATTTTGATAACGTTATTATTGTTTTTCTTTACGACATAGTGATGTTTCTAATAATGATGATCATAATGATGTTGACAAGAATGATAATTATGATGAATATTCAGGTGTCCAGTGATGTTAGTAGCAGGGGACCACTCCCCCCACCTCGACGACACAATCACTATGAATGGAAGACTCGATCCTTCAAACTCCACTTGGATGAAGGTTCCTTCTTTTTTAATATCAAACGTCGTGCGACGAATTTTTAATTCCAACACATCCAACAAATTGAATCAACCATACACCCGCAATGAATTCGATATTTCTTCCTACCATCACCACAACGTGCCAATTCACAGTTCAATTGCGGTGGCATGATATTGGAGGAGGCACCAGGCAAGTTGTGTGAGGCACTCCGTCTCTTCCTTCAAGGACTCGGATACGGTGTGTGTTTATGTAACTATTTACGTATTTGGGTTCATCTATGCAGTTATTATTGATGTGTATGTTTACGCGTTTACAACTTGCTTGTTTTACTTATTTTGTCTAAACAAATCACCAGCTCTAAAGCATTAATTATAATTTGTTAATAACAAATCTGATTTTTTAATAATTATTAACAAATCAGATTTGATTAAGTCACGACGCCATGCGTATTTTTTGAGAACGTTCTTTCTGTTGAATTTCACAAGAATATTTCGTGATTTCTTGATTCTCGGCCACACCCGGTAGAAGCGCCATGTCCCAGGCCGTTATTAATTGATGTCTTGGTTCGAATACCATCAAACGCCATCGGTGCTTGCGCGTGCATACATGATGTACGACGCATGTACGTCGTGTGTTGTGCAGTGGATAGTACAGCATCTGCTGCACGACAGTTTAATTATATATGTGGAACGACATGGAAACAGAACAAGAGGGAAATAAAGATTCATAGCGTAACAATGATTCTTAACATACAATAAAGTAGTGTTGACATAAATTGATTGATCTTGGTTCGGAAACTTCGAATACTATTTGCTAATTTGTAATCACTAATCAATTACATTGTTTAATTAATTAACCGCTGATTTAATGTAAATGATTGTTCCACTTTCAGTTCCAGCACTGAGGCGCAAGTCGGAAGTGGATCCTGCACCACAGATCCCGAAGTTGAGCAGCCTCACCAGCCACCCACAACCAACCAACTTCGAAGTTTGTTGAAGGATCGATCGTCCAACACGGCTGACATTCCCACATCTCATCATCGTTTAACACTTTTCTACTTGTTTTGCACATTGAACATTTGACTAGTAACATTTTTATCCGTATATTTGAATTTATATAGATACACTCACACACACACACACACACACACACACACACACATATATATATATATATAAATAATTTTCTGTTCACGTTTCTCACGTCAAAATATCAATTATGGCCAGTAATGTTGTGACGATAAAAGCACTACTGATGTCTCGACAGCGATGTCGTCTTATCGTGTTATGATGATTGCCGTCTGACATTTTGTTAATAAGTGTTGTGTTGATTGTGGTGTTACGCCGATGATGTTGTGGATACCACTACGGTGTTTGCCCTAGCATCATTGACAATGTTAACTTATTAAAATATTGATCGCTTGTACATTTAATAACATTGCCACGAAATTGGAATTACTTTTTGATTGACTGCTATTAATTATGCAATGTTAACTGTGTACATTCCTTACAATTTGCACTTTTTATATTTGCATCCAATGTTCTAAAGATTGGCATCATTTCTAACTTGTCATCATTGTTAATTCAACGCACGTTCGTGAAAAACTTTTTCACTGGCTCGCACAGCAGTGCACGTTATTTCTGCACACGTAGCGACGTGTTGCAATATAGATGCCTCACGTCAACACAATTCGGGGCAGAACAATCATTTCATAATTTCAGTGTTTAATAGGTTTCTATCTTTAAAAGTGATATTAAGCATGAATTGGCTTGTGAAACATTTCTTGTTAATTAAAAACATTTGTAGATAGAATACAATGCACGATTTGTCTTGTGATTCCGCTTTTCATTTATATCGTATTTATTTGAACATTATACTCATTTTTTAAAAGTTTAAAATTTGATTGTTGTCAAAAAATAAGATAAGCGTTGCTGCCGCGCGGTAGTTTCATCATCGTTTATTCTGATTGTATCTACCTATTGTACGGGTGCAGTTATATCTATGGTGCAAACCTCTAATGACTAAAATAATTTACAGATTTGTTCAAGGTAAAGCAGTGAACGTCAAAATTGGGAAGATTGCAGAACTGAAATTAACCTTTCTCCTGGGCCCAGAAAATCATGCGAGTAACATTCATTATAAACAGTATGGCAACATCAACATGCCAAGATATCACAAAACAAGTTTATTTCCTAAGACCGTTGATGCAGCTGCAGTTTGTTAGCCTTAATACAGTAACTTGCTTAAATCAGAATTTGTTCTACTTGTGTTCATTTGCACTTCTGAATTCCAAGTTTTTCCGCTGGACGATCGTATAAAATTTTGAAAATTTTCTATAATGCTGTAATGTAGTTATCATTTCAGACGCGGACAACTGAGACATTCCATCATATTGGGATTGATCATCAGTTTTTCGCAATGTTCCACGATCATTTAAAATGTCTCATAACCATTATTTAGCTTAACACCATTCATTTTCAGTTAGTCTATATACGATGATTTGATGTTTACGAACAATGCAATTAAATTTCAAATTTGAAAGATGACACAATATGGAATTGCATAAACCGCTGTAACATAAATGTGGAAATGATCAACAGTTCTTAGCACGATGTTTCGCAATGAATGTTTACAAATTGTCAGTAATAATATAACAATGATGAAGTTTTTATGGATCGTAGTTGTAACGGTGAGGACGATGAATAAATATTGAAACGATTCGATATTGGTGCACGTAAGGCAGTTACCAAATAACGTTTAGTACTATCTGTCGCGTGGTGATGGATTGCTGTAGTAGTGGTGTGAGAGTTGCAGTTGTGGCGTTGTAGTGAAGAGGTAGAAGTGTGGTGGGTGTGTTGTCGTCTAGGAACAGTGGGGTCACTTGATGAGGTAAACAACTTGGTCGTACACTCCAAGAAAGATAGCTCCTCCCAAGGATATCCACATCACTCTTGGTACAATGCCATCGAACAATCTGTGGAAATAATAAACGCCGTGACCACTCATACGTACACACACACACACACACGCACGCATCATTCATTCACACACGCATCATACATTCACACACTCATTCATTCACACACACACACGCATCATTCATTCACAAACACGCACACATATATGAATACATATATATTTATGAAAAAAACATGTAACACAGCAGATGACCTTAATTGATTACAACATGAACAATTGAACAAAGAACAAACCCATTGATTCCCTTATGACGGTAAACATGTTGGATGGCTGTGATGACGTTTCCTCGCGATAGGTCGGAGGTATGCTGTTTAGTGCGTGTGTGTGTGTGTGTTGTGTGCGTGAAGTTGCTTCAATTTGTTATTTTATATTCGATATTAAATAAAGGCATCATTTAAGTAACGTATAACAGTTTATTTTTTCACGACCTAATATCGTTATATATATATTAATTGTAGTTTGCATTTTTCCTATTTCGTGGTTTCTTTGGTCGCTGCTATTTTTTATGATTTGTTTCCACTGTCACTTATAATACCATCACCTTATTGGAAATTGGCAAAGTTTTCGGCTTCTACTATTCTTTCGTACAATAAGTGCTAATTTAAAACTTCTGAAAAATTTTATGTTGCAGCCACGATCGTCATTTAATTGAATTAAATTCCTTCATTATAGAGATATAACCTGAAAAGGCCTTACAAGTATGAAGGCAACCATTTCAAATCTTTTTAATAGATTTTCATTTATTATATTTCATTTACCCAAAATAAAAACATTTTGACATTCCAATTATTTGAACTTGGAAACACTATCCCTTTTCTCAACTATCTGATTTATAAGTGAAAGGACGAAACATCACAGAGCCGGGTTCTACACAATATACTGCGATTGACAGATTGAAGTTTTATTGATTAGGTCTTTACTGCTAGGATAAGACGATGGATTGAGTGGGAGTTGAGTGTGGAGAATTAGTTCTAATTAGAGCAGCAAATCCAGACCTATGTTAGGTCACCTAACATACATGGTTCGACGTCCGTAAAAACAGAATTTAACTTTACTAACCCACCAAACTTATTTACTACAATGTTTTTTTCTCAAAGTCGACAAATTGATATGTAATCATAGCACGTACATAAGAATTTTGTTCACTGAAAAAACTTTTGATAATAATTTTAATATAAAAAAATTTATTAAATTTTCATTAATGAAAGCTTGAGTTGGTTTCCCCTGAAGTCCCTCTTATCTGGTCCAAAAAGGGACGGTTTCATAGGTTAGGGACCCTCGAGCTAACATAATCCTCCTATCTATTCTCTTACTAGTTTAATAACCTCGCCTACAATTTTAGTGATTCTGATTTACAAAACAGAAGTTAATTTCACAGTAGTAGTTAGCATTTGAATGATAATGAATATTTTTACAACTTTTCTGAAATATCCTTACCTTGGCTAGCATGATTCTTGTTTTTGCAACATCGAGCGGCGTGGTGGTTGCTGCTGCTATGCCACCTGTTGGTCAGTTGAGTCGCAGTTCAAATTCATTAGTGACTGACCGCTTAGTAACGTTTCATAAAGATTGTTTTAAACATGTCAAATAATATTATGTAGAACATTTACTTTACCCGCAAGCGCACAATAACATAACAACTATCATGACAACACGACACACACCACAGACAACAACCTGCTATTGCACCACAAACGGCTGACTGCCACGGAAGCACCTGACTGTCCTGGTTTCGACCCCATGTCACCTGAATTGCGGAGAAAAGTTAATGTCATGTACCTCAACAATTTAAATCAATTGTAATGTCAATATACTCAATATTCTCAGAGAAAGGTCGCTCTGATGATATCGAGAAAACTATAAAAAGCTTCTTAATAATCAAAATCAAAGTATGTTACCGATGAACAAAATAAAATGAAAACAAAACATACAAATAACAACCAACTTTTAAATATTCCCATATAGGAAACTGTACAATGGAAAAAGGAATTTCCCTCAATACTGTGCTCATGTAGCCTCTGTAGAAACCTCTCCAGCCCTGCATATGATCACGTTAAAAAATTATTTGCTACTTGAAGGCGAACCCTAGCACATTAATTCACAAACATCCTCGTGTATAAATGTCCTCATATATTCGCTCCATTAGAGTTCTTGCAATATCAAAAACCTTACTGTGATTAAAATCAAAATTTAATAAACGGTTGCACACATTTAAAATTAACGTGCAAAACAAGGTATAATTAATTTCTGAAATAGTGAAACAGTTTACGTTCCACCACCTCTGATTTTAATAATTTTTCTCAACTTTTTTGCTGTACCCCACGAACGTTCAATATACTAGACAAGGGCGTTACCAATGTCGATCGATCAATATCGGTAACCTGAAAACTCGGTACCTATAATAGGTATTGGTAATGAAGAAAAAAAGCCGATATTGGTAAATTACTGAAGTATCGGTATTTACTGGTGTATCAATACAGATTAGTGTATGCAGGTTAGAATAATGTATGGAGGATTAATTGTATTCAGGATCAAATGAACGGAATTAAGTGTAGGCGAACCGAAAACGTATAAAAAAAATTAATTTCATAAAACTGTAATACTGCCATAAAAATAGATTGTAATACATGAAAAAATAATGTGAACGTACAAGTGGTAACCTCATTTTGATAGGTCAGTCGAGATAGTGTGAGAGGCGATTTGGAGGATGATACCATGGCTCTCTGCTTGATCACTTCCACTGGCACTCTCACCAAGCACGCCACCTTCAGGCACAAACATCAAACTTCATTTTTCATATTATTACACGTACTTATGTTAACTTATTTGAAAGGTAAAGGTTATGTAAAACCGAGATGAAGCGTTAATATAATTTAAAATTAAATACAAAAATGCACCGACCAGTGATTTTAGCTAAATGACCGAATAGTTGATCTATTATTTGGCCAAGACTGAAAACTAAAAACCCATAATTTTGAAAAAAATTCAATTTTTTAGATTTAAAAACAAGCTATTGAGAAGAACAGTAAGCTTTACGTCTATCCAACAATCCTTTATCAAGATAATATTTATTGTCTTGGTTAAATTCAGATGTTTTAACAGTTTTAACTTCATTCTATTCTTATAATGTATAATTTTAGGCTTTAAAGACAGCACCCACACTGAAACAGCACTGTAAGCCTTATTATGACACTGGTTGAAAATGGATTTGATTTATAATGACTAGTACTAAAATGTTAACTAACACAAAATTGTCTCATAACTAAAAACCTTATTCCAATATATATATATATATTATATATATATATATATATACATATATATATATGACCGTCATCGTATATATATATAAATATATATATATATATAAATATATATATATATATATATATATGGTTGGTAATAGACCATAAATATTACAATATTCTATAAATTCTACCGAATGTTTGGCGTTAATATGTTTGTAGTTCGTTTTTTCGATATATATATATATATATATATATATTTAATTTTCTTTTTTTGGTCTCCGAATCATTCATGCTTTTGTTTTGTTTGATTGAATAAAAGTGATTTTTTTTTTTTTTTGATATATATTTATTTTTTTTAATTTTTTTTCATTTATTTTATTTATTTTCTCAAAAAAGAGGGGTAAACTAAAAAGCAACCAAATGCTTGTAGGAAAGTCACCCTATCCAAATGAAATTAAAATTGATCAACATAAATTAAAAATTAAAGTAGTTCAACAAAAATCTAGTCGGTCAGATAAAAAAGTTGGACTATAGGGTGAGTGAAACTAATTCCCACTTTTACGAAACTTATATTTTCTGTTAGTATTATTTATTTAAAAACATAATTTGACCACAGGAACACTCAGGATGATCAGGAAATTTTTTTAGAACCAAAAAACGACATGTTATGCTGCCTTATTATATACACATACCTGGGAGTGACGTCGTTTAGCATAGAATGTTTAAAAGTTCATATTGATTGTGATTTTGTATTAAAAACTAACACAAATATTTATAAATTCTTGTCGAATATTGAAAAAAAAAATTTATTTCGGAAATAATATGTTATAAATTAAATATTATTACTAAATTCCACTTTTGAAATTTTCTCTTCATGTCAATAAATTTTTTATCGCCATTGTTTTAGTCTGTCGCGTTTCTTAATTAATCTTAATAATTGGTCATTAACGTTCTTTCTGAAGGTTTTTTTTCATAATTATTGTCTTTATGAAATATATAATTAGTATATACAATTTGCCGTAATCCGCTCAATATAAATAATTTAAAAAAAATAATTGAAAGTTCATTCCTAAATTAGTTCAATCAATCAATCAATCAATCAATCAATCAATCAATCAATCAATCAATCAATCAATCAATCAATCAATCAATCAATCAATCAATCAATCAATCAATCAATCAATCAATCAATCAATCAATCAATCAATTGAAATGTATACAGCGCGTTTTTCATTGTATTCAATGGTGCTATCCAAACGACGTGCACAAGTGCACGCGCAATTAAACGCATCATACTGCCCATATGATAACCTTGGACATATGGTATAGACTGGTTTCGAACCCGATGACTTGAACATCATCGACCAACACTCTAACCACTACAACATAGCCGCGGTGAAGTTAAGTTCAATAAATACAGTGACAATTTTTTTTAATTGTACTTCTTCTAATAGTGTTACTGCGTTTCTATTACAGATTATTGTAGTTGTCATGGATACAGTAGTCCAATTTGACGTTAATGCATGTGTAATATGTCGAGACTCCGAAGGTACTGACATTACAGCTGTAAAAGCAAAGATGTTGATTTATTCAATTACTTGTCAAGTAATCAACCTGTCATTAAGGTGCATGAGAAATGTCAAAGAAATTACACGTATATACCTACTGAAAAAATAAGACGCACATTGGACGCAAATGAGGAAACAGTAGCTAAAAAATTTCTTAGATCCGGCTTTGAAAAGTTTAATTGGAAAAAAATTGTTTTTATGTGCACAACCTGCAGCTGTTGATGTTAAAAATCCGAAAAAAAAGGATATAATTTGTCAGGCCAAAACTGATACCATGCATTCAACAATTCAGAGAGTATGCAGGGAAAGACAAGATAAATGGGTATTTGAAGTGAGTGGCCGGATTGAGACGAGTGGTGACTTGCATGCAGCAGATGCAGTTTATCACAAGAACTGTTATAGAAAATTTGTGACACCACCTCAAAAAGTTAAACCTGTCGGTCGCCCCCCACACGAAAATGCAGCTGAAATATTCAATATGATTTGTAATAATTTTGAAAATTCAGATTCCGAACTCCTAACAGTCGATAATCTCATTGAAGAGATGACACTTTTGTGTGATGATCCATCTGATGTTTATTCATCGCGTTATATGAAAAGCAAACTATATGAAAGATATGGGGACGACCTATTCATTGCTGATTTCAGTAACCGCAAAAATGTCATTTGCTTTAATAATACTGCAAAACGTTTAATTAATGACTCATGGTATTCAGAACGAGAAAGTGATATAGTTTCGGAAAGTAAGAGAATTGTCGAAACAGCTGCAAAGCTCATAAAGAACAGCATCCGTGAGAAAATATTCGACACCGAATCATATCCAGCTGAAAATCAAATAAAAGACAAAATTGTTATGTCTGAATGGGTGCCTGATCTACTACTAACTTTTCTCAAAAAAATGATATGTGATGAAATGAAACAAATTTCTCTAGGGCATTGCATAGTGCAAGCCAGTCGACCAAAGTCAGTTATATCTCCTATTTTGTTTGGCGTGGGAATATCTATCGACCACAAATTAGGTGGAACTGGAATTTTACATATTTTGTCAAGATTGGGATTATCCATTTCCCCTGGTGAAATTACTCGTTATAAGCAATCAGTGGTGCAAACGGAAGATGCTAATTTGCCTGCAAGTAGTCCTGATTTTTTCACACAGTGGTCTGGTGACAACGTTGACCATAATGTCGCAACAGTAGATGGTTTGGGAACGTTTCACGGAATGGGTATGATCTCCATGACAACAAAAATAAATATGAATACCATAACTGAAGATGAAACCCTATCTACAAGTGAATTTAAATTGATTAAAAGACTTGCACGTGTGAATGTTGCCCGCATAGCTTTAAAAACTCATGTACCGATGCTGCGTTATTATGCACCCAACATACCAGTTTTGTCAAAACTTAAATTTAAGCCACTCATCCAACTGCAATATCCGTACAGTCTTCCGGCTAGTACTAATCATGATTTGTTATGGCAATTTGGAGTTTACAATCGAGGGGAAGCTGATCCTCAACCAAACTGGTCTGGATACATGCAAGATGTGAACATAGGTGAACATTCATTGCCTGCAGACATACGAATGCAGCCAATTTTGGATCAAAATCCAAACGACAGATCTTGCATTTTATCAACGTTATCTTACGTACGCAATCAGGCATCTAAACTTCAAATTGAAACGGCATGCATAACTTTCGATCAGCCATTGTGGATAAAGGCGGTAGAAATCATTGAATCAGAATCGCTTGGTATGGTGTGCCGGCTTGGTACATTTCACATGATTATGAATTTTCTCGGAAGTATTGGTACTGTGATGGCTGGCTCAGGGATTTCTGAAATTCTTGAATGTTGTTATGGCCCCAACGCTATTATACATATGTTGAGTGGCAAGGCTGTGGCAAGAGCACTTCGGGGTCATTTTCTAATTGAATCAGCTCTCCATATCATGATAATGAAGAATGTTTTAAATACAGATGAACCACCAGTCACTGGATCAATTTCACATGATGACATTAATGAACTTCTTTCGTTCTATGATAAGGTTAATAATGGAAAAGTAAACATAAATGACATTGACTATCCACAATCAATGATCAATTTGGACAGGGCGTTGTCAGCATATAAATCCAACATAGCAAACAGATCAAGGACAGCAAAGCTATGGTTGCAATATCTTAAGTATATTGATGTTTTGAAAACAGTCATTCGTGCTGAACGCACTTGTGATTGGAATCTTCATTTGGTAGGTGTTTCAAAAATGTTGAATCTTTTTGCAGTGACCGGACATAATAATTACGCCAAATGTGCCAGACTTTACCTTCAACTGATGCTCGAATTGCCAGATAGATATCCATGGATCAATGATATTTTCTACTCCGGCTTTCATGCTGTTCGACGTTTAGACAGATACTGGGGTGGCCTCTCTACGGACCTTGCAATTGAGCAAGTGATGATGCGAGCAGTGAAAAGCAGAGGTGGATTGACGCACGGTAGAGGAATGAATGAAAGCGTAAGAGCTATTTGGGTGCACAGTTTGCATAAATGTGCCGGTGTTCACGCATCTGTTAATTCTTTGGTTGGTATGGATGTAACATCTGAAAACGACATACATGTTGATCTTGGAAAGTCAAGGGTTTCAAGAGATTTTCAGGATTTAGGAAAAATATTAAAGTTTTTACAAATACAAAACCCTTTTGACGTTTCTGAGAACAATCTTTGTTGCATTTCAAATGGAATAATTGCAGCTGATGCAGACAACATAAATTGTGATCAATCGGAAGAAATTGGTTTGAAAATTATGCTTAAGATGAATGATGTCAGTTTTTCAGATGTGGTGATGAAGAGAGCTGACCAAGTTCGTACCCTTTCGCATCTGTGCACAAAAGTTAGAGTTCGTGGAGAAGAAGTTGTTATTAATCATCAAATTTTATTTGCAAGGCTACTGGTTAT